AATTAATATATTTATATTTATATTTTATATTATAATTTTGATATTGATATGAATTATGAATATTATTTTGATAATATAAATATAGGAAATAATATAATACAGATATTATAAATATAGAAATTTGGATGTTATAAATATATACATTGTTATAATATATACATATGTTATAATATATGTATATATATAATATATATATATATATATTGTTATTTTATTTTCTTTTTTTTAGTTATTATAGAATAATATTTAGAATTTAATTATATTATAATTATGAAGAATAAAAATTGATTTGCTTTATTTTGTAAGTATTGTAAATAAATTTATTTTATTATAAATAGAATGAATTTAATATATTTTTTTTTTAGAAAATTAAAAATTATTAAATATTAAATAAATGAAAAATGATAGTGTCTTGTTTCAATTTCATATAATAAAAATTAATGATTCATACATATCATACATATCACTATTAGGTTACTTATACATTGTAAAATTCATAAAACAAAAATATTTACTTGTCGTAAATTTATCTCAATAATTGAATCGAGCAATTGAATGAAACTAATTAATTCATATATATTTACGTAATCAAATGGCTTAAAAAAATTCGATTATCGATTAAATATTTTCGATATTTTACTAATGCTTATTTCAAGTAATAAGTGAAGTCAACTGATATCGCGTGTATTGCGAAACAAATTATTTCAAAACATTTCTAATGACTATTCAAACTTTTGAAAATAACAAGGTATGTATTTTTAGAGAAAAAATCAATCTAAAAACTGAATTATGTGGTATAATAAGAAATAGTAATATTTATCTTACTTCAAATTTCTTCGATTCATCGAATGAGTATGCATTTTTCTACTGTTTATTGAATATTCGTTACATGTGTTGATTTGTCAAATAAAATACGAAATTTTCAATTTTATCATTTAATATTTTTTATAATTAATAACACATCATTTTAAAATATAAATGACATATTTGGTATTGCAACTTGAAAATTAATTTTTAAACATGCATTTTATTAAGATTGGAATTTTTTTCTATGTGAAATAAGAATAATTCCTTAATAAAATGTGAATTTACCATTTATGATTTATTTTTATAAATAATATTTTTTAAAAGTATATTATATTTTTTTGTTTATATAAAATTGATATATAAATTTGAATAATTTATTGAATTTTTTTAAAGATGGAAGATGAATCTAATCAGTCAGGAACAACTCAAGCTGATTTCATTAATGAAGAACTAAACTTTGATGTAGATCCAAATGAACCAATGACAAAAGCAACTTTAAATGAACATCCACCCGAAGAGTGGATAGATATTTTAGGAAATGGACAGCTTAAAAAAAAAGTTATAAAAAATGGAAAAAATGGAACACGACCAAATAGATCTGATATTTGTACTTTAAAAATTATTGGTAAATTAAAAGATAATACAATAGTTGAAAAGTATGAAGATCTTAAAATTCAATTAGGAGATGTTGAATTGATTCAGGTATAGAATTCTTTCTTAAATCTTATTTTCAAATTTTTTAAAATATATATCTATATATTTAATATTTTAAAGATTTTTTGTATGATTATTATTCCCTTATAGTATTAAATATATTGTATTGTTACAAAATTAATATAATAATTATAAATTTTTTAATAACAAATATTGATATTTTAACATTATTATAATAATATTTTTATTATATTATTTAATTATAGGGATTAGATTTAGCAATTGCATTAATGGATGTGAATGAAATTGCTGAAATTGAGGTTGATCCAAGATTTGCTTATGGTTCTCTAGGAAAAGAACCAAATATTCCATCTAATGCAACTATTTTATATACAGTTGAATTAAAATCAAGTGAATTAGAAGCAGAAATAGAAACCCTTAATGCTAATCAACGAAAAGAAATTGGGTAATTATTTTTTACATATTATTGCTTAAATTTGTGATTAATTATTGTCTTTTTTTAAAGCAATAAAAAACGAGAACGTGGGAATTGGTGGTTTACTCGTAATGAACCAACACTTGCAATTCAATGTTACCGGAGAGCATTAGAATTTTTGTTACCAACAGAAAGTCGTACACCCTATCAAAGTGAAGTAGAAGATACTACTGATGCAGAATTGCAAGCTTTGTTAGAGGATCGTATGAAAGTATATAATAATTTAGCAGCTGCACAAATGAAAACACAAGCCTATGATGCAGCATTGAAAAGTGTAGAAAGTGTTCTGAGTTGTCAACCTCAAAATGTAAAAGCTCTATTTAGAAAAGGTAGTATTATAAATATATTTTATATATAATAACAAATTCTGTATATTAAATATTTTAATATAAAATTATTTAATATTAAATTATTCTAGGAAAAATTTTGCATTATAAAGGAGAACATGCATTAGCATATCAAACATTGCTTCAAGCAGCAAAATTGGAGCCAGAAACAAAAGCTATTCAGATGGAATTAGCTATTTTAAAAGAAAAAAATGCTAAGGATGCTCAGCATGAAAAGAATTTATATCGTAAAATGTTAGGTGCACATAAAAATAACAATACATCTTTAAAAAATTTAAAGAAAGGAAATAAGAATAAAAATTCATCAAAATTTACATGGAGCTTAATTGGTGGAGCAACTGCAGCAGTTTTAAGTGTCCTTTTATACAGATTTATTTCGTGAGAAAAATTTAGAATGAAATTAAAGTGAAAGACAATGTCCAAGCTAAATGTTGTGAAATATATTAATACATTACTTAAGTATCGTTGATTTAAAATGACTATAAAGAATATGGGTATAAAAACAAGTAAGTTGTACAAATTTGATAATTTTAATAACATATAAACAAATCAAAAAAAGTCATAGTGTTAATAAAATTTTACCTAAACTTTATTCACAAATCTTGTATTTTGAATTTTATAACAGGAAGATTTTTAAGCATATAAAATATTAAAATGTAGTGTTAAAAAAGTTTATAAAAAATTATAATATATATGTTATAATATATTTTTTGTATAAATCATTATGTAAAACTTTGTTAACATACATTTTGATATGAATTTTCCAAATATATAAAATGTAATTTTTAAGAGTATGAAACTATTTCAGAATAAAACTCTCGCAAGTTGTTTTTTAAGAATATTCTTCACAAATATTTAAGTACTGTGTTAAAAATAACTTCAAAAAATCATTTTCAATGCAATGTTTGCTTACAAAGAATAATTTTTAAAAGCAATTCATGAGAATTTTACTTTCAAATGGTTTATGCTTTTAGAAGAAGATAAATTAATAGATAATTAATCATTTATTTATCCTAATACCTAGTAATGAAGAAAGAAAATTAATTGGATTATTTCTTATTATTTTATAATAAATTTTATAATAATGTATTATGATCAGATGTAGAAGGATATAACAAAAAAATAAATATATGCAAAAAATAGACATGAATATTCACTAAAAGTGTTTATAAAATATCTATTTTTGATAACAATTCAATAATCATAAATATTTATTTTTTTATAGAATAAAAATTTATATAATTATAATTTATATAAATATATAGAATAATTTATAAT